TACACCGGCGCCCGCAACTTCCCCACAAGGTCACCGCTGCCGCCCCTCTGAGCTCTGCCACCCCGAGGCCGGGCCTCGGTGGCCTTGTGGGAAATCCGGGCCTGCCTCCCGTCACCCGAAGCTCAGTATATAGGGAGCTACTGATGTATACTGAGACGCCGCAGCTGAAGCGGATCCCGACAATTCTGTCTGGATCCGCCCAGCTGCGTGACTGACAGCTGGCTCTGCCTATCTAGAGGCTGTACCCGCCCCCTCCCCCGTCCGTTCCGCCAGTCAGCGCTGGAGGATGGGACAGGGGAGGGGATCCCTGCAGGGAGCCGTGAATGTGACAGTCACGGCTCTCTGCAGGGACAGGATCGAGAGGTGAGCGAACGCCGGTATGTGTTCGCTCACCTCCCAATCTACTGAGCCGACCGGTGACAGTATCATTGTCACACGTCGGCTAGAACTATGAGGAGGAGGGGAATCACTCGCCTCATAGTTCTACTTTAACCTCCCTGGCGGTATTCCCGAGCGTATCTCGGGGTTACTTTTCCATACCATAAGCGGTGACCCCCGAGCTACACTCAGGAATGGCGCATAGCATTTACTTACCTTGTCCCTCGAGCCGCGCATGCCCGCCACCTTCCTGTACTCTGCTCAGGCAATAGCTTTGCGGGGACATCTGGCCGCGCGACGTCGACCCTCAGCAGCCGCTTCCTATCGCGGCCGGATGAGGTTTTAATGTCCCCTCTGCAGTTCTCAGGCACGCAGGCCCGTGACACTCCCAGGAGGTGTTCATTTACAGGCAAGTCCATAATAAGCTCCCCCTCGCCATGAAAACGCATGACGCTCTGCAGTGATCTGAATTGGTCGTCGCTGAACTCCCCCAAAAATATACTGAAAAGGAAGGAAATGAGGAATTGCCGAGAACCCCTGAGGAATGGGGGGGGGAATCCCTGTGGGGAGCAGTGACTGACAGAAGATGGCGAGTTGCACGATCAGCAGTCAGAGATCGCTCAGCTCTGGATCTGTAGTGCCGATCGCTGACAAGGGCCGGTCTATGGACCCTGCGTATGTATTCGGACCCTGCGTATGTATTCGGACACGCCTCGGGTCACCCCTGAGCAGGAATATATAAAACAAATACACGTACTCTCACCATCCTGATCACTTGAAGACTGAGGCCCATAGAAAACGGTTTCATTAAAAGGAGGGAGCTGTGGAGACAGAAGAGAGAGATCCGTGAGCGTGGGATTGGAACACAACAAATCTACAATCAGCGCGCGGGGGACACAGGAAGACCCTTCTGCGCACACACAGCGCGGGGCACACAGCGCGGGGGACCCAGGAAGACCCTTCTGCGCACACAGCGCGGGGCACACAGGAAGACCCTTCTGCGCACACAGCGCGGGGGACCCAGGAAGACCCTTCTGCGCACACAGCGCGGGGCACTCAGGAAGACCCTTCTGCGCACACAGCGCGGGGGACCCAGGAAGACCCTTCTGCGCACACAGCGCGGGGCACACAGGAAGACCCTTCTGCGCACACACAGCGCGGGGCACACAGGAAGACCCTTCTGCGCACACACACAGCGCGGGGCACACAGGAAGACCCTTCTGCGCACACACAGCGCGGGGCACACAGGAAGGCCCTTCTGCGCACACCCCGACCCCCCAAACGCGCCGCTTTCCTGAACTTTGATTGGTTGTCAGCCATTTATTGCTCACAGCTGAGGAAAACCGACTACATTGTATCAGCGGCACAAAGTGTCGGCACGAGGGACGCGGCTATTGTTCCGATCTTTAGCCCCAGTGTGTGTGTGTCTGGACTTTGCTCTCTGTGATGTGCGTGTTGTATGTGGAGTCTGGCGCAGGGTTTGCCCCGTGACCTACAACAAATTAAAAAGGAGAACTATGAGGGGGGAGGGGCTTTACACTCCTCATAGTTGGAGCCGACCTGTGACAATGAGACTGTCGCAGGTCGGCTCAGTAGATCGGGAGGTGAGGGAACACATACCGGCGCTCGCTCACTTCTCGATCCTGTCTCTGCAGAGAGCCGTGACTGTCACTCACCGCTCCCTGCAGGGATTGCCCCCCCGTCGGATCCTCCGGCGCTGACTGGCGGAACAGACGGGGGCGGGTACAGCTCTAGATAGGAGGAGCCAGCTGTCACTCACGCAGCTGGGAGGATCCAGACACAATTGTCGGGATCCGCTCCGGCGTCTCAGTATACCGCTATATACTGAGCTTAGGGTGACGGGAGGACGCTAGTTTGTGTCCCCCCGTTACCCTAAGGAGAACTATGGGGGAAAGCCCTGACCCCGTACTTCTCCTTTAAGTCTTGTTTACCGACTTCCCGGCGTGCGGACTCGGATACTACAGATCGTTCAGCAGTTTCCAGACGCCGGAGTTTCTGTCCCACCGCCAGGATTACGGTTCAGCGTTGCCCTGCCATCTATGAATATGACCCTCCCAACCCCCCACAGAAGCAGCCGCACTATTCTGATCAAAAGCCAACCTGTCGCTGTTCCTAAATCCAAGATGAGGCCCAACCGGCGCCGATTGATGCCTCCGGGCTTCATGCCCGTGCAAAGATCTGCTCCCAGGAGGGACGGGCGCTGCATGTAGTTCCCGCCTATGGAAGTCTGTAAAAAGTAAGTCGAGGGAAACTGGAATTGCTGAATTTTTCTTGAAGACGTTTCACTGGCCATCCGACCAGCTTTCTCCATTCAGAATTCATTCTGAATAGAGAAAGCTGGTCGGATGACCGGTGAAACATCAAGAAAAATTCCGCAATTCCAGTTTGCCTCGACTTATTACAGATATACCATGTGACCCGGAGGAATGAGGAGCTTCCCAGACCTACCTATGGAAGGATGCGGCTGCATGCTGACCTGAACCTGAACATCCACCTAGGTCCGGGTGCCCGCACTTGGATGCAAACAGTGCGTAACCTCCTGCAGCTGCAACCTTCCATAGGGGAGGTACAGGCGGGCTGCATGCCATAAACCTGTCCCTCCCGTGAGCTGGACTCTGCATGGGCACGCACACCATACAGATGCGCATGCCCGTGTGTAAATGAGCCCTTTGACTAGATACCACAGGGAGCCCCCGAGAACTCCCAATCCCCACAGGATGGAATCTTCTGTTTTAAAGAAGAAATGCCCCCCCCCCCGACCTAAACGATCCCAGCCTTGCACTTCACAGATCTGCACTTACCAAGATCCAAAGGCCACTACCGTCATTTATTAAAAGGAGAACTATGGGGTCAGGGCTTTTCCCCCGTAGTTCTCCTTAGGGTAACGGGAGGACACAAACTAGCGTCCTCCCGTCACCCTAAGCTCAGTATATAGGGAGCAACAGCTCGCGGTGTACTGAGACGCCAGAGCGGATCCCGACAATTATGTCAGGATCCACCCAGCTGCGTGAGTGACAGCTGGCTCCGCCTATCTAGAGGCAGAGCCAGCTGTACCCTCCCCCCTCCCGTTCCGCCAGTCATCGCTGGAGGATCGGACAGGGGAGGAGGAAGAATCCCTGCAGGGAGCCGTGAGTGACAGTCACCACTCTCTGCCGGGACATGATCGAGAAGTGAGCGAGCGCCCTGGTATGTGTTCTCTCACTTCCCGATCTATTGAGCCGACGTGCGATAGTCTCGTTGTCACAGGTCGCCCCGAACTATGAGCGTAAATCACTCCCCCCTCATAGTTTTTCTTTAAACCAATCACAGAGTCAATATACACAGTACATACCATCGGCCCATCTGCCGAGTCCAGTCTTTGCTTTGCAGAGCCACTGATGAGACCTTCAGTCAAAGTTCTGGGTGCCCGTGTCTCCTCGCTGCAAATCTGAAGATACATTAGGGACACAGCAGCCATTAGGGTGGGAAGAGTCACCCGGAAAGCAGAAGCAGGCACCGGGGACACCCAGAAGCATCGGATGCTGAAGATTCGGTGACTCCAACTCTGCGTCAGCAAAGACTGGATTGGACAGGAGAGGCGCCTATTCTATCACTCATTGTCCCCCTGTGACCCAGAGTCAGCATACAGGGGGCTACTGACTGCTATAGGACAGCATACAGCGGGCTACTGACTGCTATAGGACAGCATACAGGGGGCTACTGACTGCTATAGGACAGCATACAGGGGGCTACTGACTGCTATAGGACAGCATACAGCGGGCTACTGACTGCTATAGGACAGCATACAGCGGGCTACTGACTGCTACAGGACGACAGTGCAGAGCTGTGCTGCAGCGCGGGAAAGATCCTAACAATGTCGGAATCCCACCTTCTACCTGATTGACTGCTGGCTCTCAAGAGCCAGCACCACCTGTGCGCGCGCCCCCTTGCCATCTCTCCCTCCAATGAGTGAAGGAACAGAGAGGGTCCGACAGTCACTGCTCTGTACAGGGAGAAGACGGCGAGCGATCAGCAGGTAGAGATCGCTCAGCTCTGGATCTATAGAGCCGGCATGCGACTCCGCCGGCTCACAGTGTTGGGAAGAGTACATCTCACCCCCCTAATACTTCTCCTTTAAAAAAGGAGAACTATGAGGTCAGTGTTTTTCCCCCATAGTTCTCCTTAGGGTCACGGGGGGGGACACAAACTAGCATCCTCCCGTCACCCTAAGCTCAGTGTATAGGGAGCTACAGCTCGCGGTATACTGAGACCGCCGCAGCAGTAGCGGATCCCGACAATTGTGCCCTGGATCCGCCCAGCTGCGTGAGTGACAGCTGGCTCCTCCTATCTAGAGGCTGTACCCGCCCCGTCCCCAGTCAGTGCTGGAGTATGGAGGGGGAATCCCTGCAGGGAGCGGTGAGTGACAGTCACGGCTCTCTCCAGGGAGATGATCGAGAAGTGAGCGAGCGCCGGTATGTGTTCCCTCACCTCCCGATCTACTGAGCCGACCTGCGACAGTCTCATTGTCACAGGTCGGCTAGAACTATGAGGAGTGAAAAATCACTCAACTCACCTTTAAACTCTTTCTATATTTTGGAAATGTCCCTTTAAAGCTCCCACGCGCCCCCTAGTGGCTGCAGCCGGCACCAGCACCAGAGAGAGCCCAGCCTCGGACGGGGTCACCCAGCACCAGAGAGAGCCCAGCCTCAGACGGGGTCACCCAGCACCAGAGAGAGCCCAGCCTCAGACGGGGTCACCCAGCACCAGAGAGAGCCCAGCCAGCAGATAAATGACCCTTCACCACCAGGAGAAGCCCATCCCCCGATTATAGACTGCACCGCAAAAACTTACCTCCACTGTACAGCGAGCACTGGCAAAGAATTGCTTGAACTCGTCGTCGCTGAACTCCCCAAAAATATACTGAAAGAAAAAAAAAGAAGAGGAAATGAGGAATTGCCGAGAACGAGGAATAGAACTCCCTACAGAGAGAGAGGCGACACATAGGGGTCAGGGCCGGCCTTTAGGCGCCTTGTGCGAGAAAGCTTTACAGCTCTCCTCAGTGACCACACCCATATCCCCAAATATCCGCACCATTTAACCACCTGCTGTCCGGCTGTTGTAATTAAATGGACGGCGGCTTCTTGAGGGCGGGTCGGCGGCTTTAAACGTCCCATCCCGTGCCTGCCGCTAGGCGGCGCGCACGAGCGGGAAATCAGCTTTCTATGTAAACAGCCGGCGATGACTGTTTTACATACAAGCGTTCGGGTGTCTGTAGTGACGCCCTATCGCTTGTAATATGCGTGCGCCCCCCTCTGCCGCTGCTGGCGATCCCGAGCTCCGCTGTGAGCCCGGGACCAGCACAGCAGCTCTGCGGCCGGAGATCATACGGAGCTCAGTACACCAGCTCCCTCTGAGCTCTTCTGAATGCAGGAAGTGACGTGTATGACATCACTTCCTGCATGCAGTGTCACGCTTCGGTACAGAAACCGGAGAGAAGCTGTTGTAGCAGATCTCGGCTTCTCTGGGGGTCCCTAGGTGACATTAGGGGTCTTAAAGACCCCTGATGTCTCCATAAAGAGGACCTGTCACTGCAAATTGGCTATCACATAGGGAGCTTGTTAGTCCCGCTCCCCCCCCCCATGTGATAGCAATAAAGTTAAGTTGGAAAAAAAACAAGTTTAAGAAAAATTGAAGTTACTTAAAAAAAATTAAGTCACCCGCCCCCCACATGCGCACGCAAACATGCGTCGAGTCCACCTACTTGCGAAAACGACGATTGCGCCGCACAAGTTACGTATCGCCGCGAGCGTCGCAGCGAGAGCGCTAATTCTCGGCCCGTCGGTCACCGATAACACCAAACTGATGAGCGGTAAAAGCTTTTAAAGCGTCGCCTGTGGACAATTTTTGGCCATGGTAGTTTTTTGCGATGTAGCGGGCGGGCGCGCGCACTGGTTTTTTCATATTAAATGTTTATTTATAACAAAAAACACACATACAATACAGTAAGCATACATTAAGACAATCACATTACATACGGTATCCAAGGTAAAAGGGGGGACAAGAGACGTAGGGGTACAGGGGGGGGGTTGGTCCCCTGGTCGGGGCGCAATATGCGCATTCAAGCATGTGGCAAAACAGTGCATAACAATACAGCGATGGAGCCCCTCAATGGAACTTGGCAATCATTTTACCGGAAGCATAGTGTATTAGGGTAAAATACAATCGCCAGTTTTACAGAGTTACTAATAAAAAAAAATTAATTAAATAAAATAGAATAACAGGTTTTAAAGCAGACCATATCACGCGGATAACATTGAGACATATTCGTCCTGAGTTTTAAAGTGCAGCCATCCCGCCCAAGTCGTGTGAAAAGTGCTATATGTGTCCTTACTAGAGTGATGGAGTTCTTCCATCAGACGCAGATGGTCCACCCGTGTCAACCACTCTGCCACCGTGGGTGTTTGGGTTGTGCGCCAGTGTGTGGGGATGAGAGCTTTCGCTGCATTGAGCATAAAGGGAATTACCGATCTCTT